TGATTTTGAAGTAAATGATTATTCTGAATTTTTGCACGATAATGAAAACCACGGATTGAAAACAMATGTGCAATCTCAATTACAATATGTGCAAATTGAGGGTGCTGGAGTGTTACATAATGAATTATCTCCTGCTGTGATGATAATTGGAAAATCTCCTTACATTAATTCTATTAATGTTACAAATTCAGCATCTCATGGGATATCTGTTATTACATTTAAACACCAAAACATACATCTTTTTTCTAATTGGTTAGTTCTAATATTTTTAAAAATAAATTTGATTATACTTTAATACTAATTGGTGTCTCAGGATTGAAAATAATACTGGAATTGGTATTAACATAATTTCATTGACTGGAGAAGGRCAAGAAAACGATGAAAGTTCCTTTGATGTGTTAAAACAAGTGAATATTCCTAAAGATACATTYGGTTTATTGGACATGTGTGATCCCATTAAAGATGTAGTGGTGTATGAACGAATGATTGTACATTTCAAATATAGTGATCAACCTATATCTTGTGTCAAAATTTTCCGTAGCTATTTGGGATCTAAATCATTAGGTTTAAGGTAAACAAATTAAGTATTATTATTGTTAGTTTACTTAAATAGAACTATTAAACTATTTTAATTGTTGTATATATATATATTATATTATAGATTACTACAGTTAAATTTAGCACATGAAAGTGATTATGTGGGAATTTATGATGGAATATTATATAATAAAACTTCTGAAATCATTCGTCTCGTAAAATCTCCCAAATCTCAAAGAAGAAGATTCATTAAATCCACATTTGGTAGCATTAGCTTAAAAACTATAGCTCGATCTGCTTCTTCTCGTATTTATGGCTTTATTGCAGAAATTGTTACCCTTCCCATTGCTGCTATAGGTTTTGGTATGTGCATTTCATTAATATAATATTTTAATATATTTAACTATAATTATATTCTCATCAAAAAAAAAAATAAAATTTAAAATTGTGTTAATTGGGTAACTGTAAAACACATATATTTATTTTTAATCATCAAAAAAAAAAATAAATACAATTATATTTTTATTGATTATTTTTAGATCGCAACACTGAACATAATATTTCATATTCAGTGATCAGCAATAATTTTATGGGTGCTATTAGTTATGCTTGTGCAGGTGAGGTAAATCCACACATTAGTGTTGCTTGGAATAAGATAATCAACAATTGTCGCCACATACCCGATTCAAACATTAGTACATGCGAAATGCCTATCCAATTTCAGTTGCAAAATACTCAAAGTTTACTACTTCATGTAAGACATTTTTTGGTRTAATAAGTTATATAATATTTTTACAAAACACTTTGTATAAATTCTTTTAAGCTCTTCTGGATGTTCCTGTTTATTATTCATCCTMAATCTGATTAACTAATGTTCATGATAAAGTAAATTATGGTTTATTTTATCTGTCTATCCGAATTAAATGTTTCTATATCCTTTTTTCATAAATATTCAAATATTCTTACTATCCTGATATTGAAATAGTAAAATACCATGTTTCCATCCTTTTGTTCTTCAACTTCACTAGCTGTGTTCTAGTTCTTATAATTTATAATTAATTGTTTTTATTTGTAATTATTATGTTTAAATTGTTTTGATTTAATTAGGCTTTTTCATTCTTTAAATTTGTTTTTAATTTYAATTTTAGAATAATCTTATTATGAAAAATCAAGGTGGACTTAAAGTGACAGCAGATTCTAGTGGATTTGCTACTGCTTTGCAAGCAATCATCCATAATAATTTATTTACAGAAAATGTTAATTTACCAGTATTAAATATTAGTGGTATACGTGTGGCCCCTCAACAACATATAAYCATTTATCGCAACTTTTTCTCAAATAATATCGCTCCATATGAAAACATCATTCAGCTTGTCCAGGTAATTATATTATTATAATTCAAAATTCAAAATAAAATCATTTTTAATTTTTAACTTTATTTCATTTTAAGGTYATTTCAAATTTTACATTCAACTACGTTTATAGTAACATTGGTTTTCATGTTCTACAAATGTCTGGTTTTCATGGAATTCGATTGCCATTACAGTCATCAACATCACATAACGGATTTTATTGGTAAAAACGTATTTAAAATTTATTTGTGTGACTGTTTAACTATAAATTAAATTTTATCGTGATAGGAATGAAGCAACAAACTTACAGAACAAAGGAACAATATTGGCTTTATCAAACGGTCAATATTATATACACAATATATTTTATGACCCTGAAAATAACTATGAAATCATAGCGGCGACCAGTAATAACAGATCAAAGTAAAGATATTTTTTTCATTAAAAAATGCTCATTATTTTTTGTTATTGTTTAAAGAATCCATAGTTACACTTATGTTTGCAGTGATTATATTTATGCTATTGATGGTTCCATTGATGCTCGTCACAACTATTGGGGTTTTAATGATACCATTGCTGTACATGGGCGCATCAAAGACTACAGAGATGAAATAGAATTAATGCCAGTAGATGTAATACCGTATTATTCAACAAATAAAACTATTTTAGAATCAGAAAAATGTCCTCCTCCATGGATCTTAATGCCAAACTCTAATACTTGTTATGGATACATAGCAGTACCAATGACATTTTATGAAGCTAAGACATTTTGCATGGTAATTAATATTTTAAGTATTGTTGAATACAGATTAAATGTTATATTTAATTTTTAGACTATGAATGCTTCATTGCCGTTCATTACTGGTGACTATGCAAATATCCGGAGAACACTGCAATTACAGATCTATGACTATGGTTTAATATGGGTTCAGCATATTGACTACATTGGTCAGTGTACAGCTCTCGGTTTTAACAAAGTACACACTAATTTAGAATGTACTTTTCGTAATGCCTTCATTTGTGAAATGGGTAATAACATATTTGCTTCAAAACAAAAACAATTCAGTGCTAATTTTAATATTGTTGGTAAAATATCAATTTGTTATTAGACCCTCAAGTGACTATTAATCCATTGAAGTGGCGTGATGATTTTGTCAACATTGCTGTTACGGGATTAATATTTGGGTGTCTGATTTGTGTGGCATTTGTATTATGTTGCTGGTGGACTAAATCAAAGCAAAGGCAAGTGCAAAGGCTAAACAGRCGAAATTCAATTCGCCAATCATTAACATCTCTACGATCATTATCCCTGTCACAGCCAGCATTTTCTGAATTAAATTACCGACGTAAACCAGTGAGTCAAAATAATTTTATCTTATTTAAATATTTATAATAGTATGGTATTCTATAATTATTAATTTGTAGCAATAGTWATTGASAAAACTTATATCATTCTAATTTTATAGATAATTGATAATAGCAGTGGTTTTAACACAATATCATCCAAAGCCAACGGAAGTAGCGATTCCATAATGAAATCACAATTTAATTCATCTGTTGATGAATATGAGCCAAGTGAATTATACGAAGTACACAATGTTAACGATCCTATACACATCGAAAATAATTATGATTTAGCATACAAAAATAATGGTAATTTCTTGGTTTTTTTATAAATATAAAATACAAAAAATTAAATAAACTATATTTATGAATTTAGGTTTTAGAGATAACTCAACATTTGCATCTACAGTGGGTATGTGGACAGACGTAAGCAGTCGAGGAGTATACAGTAGTGCAGAAGTCCTTGAAACCAATTTGGATCAGGCACCGTCACCTCCTCCCAGATCACATAGCCAACCGCTAGAAACCTCAATGTGATATATCATAATCCTATGTATCTAATTTTATTTATAGTATTTATTTATATTGATTAATCGATCTCTTAGTCCAGAGACCACTCACCCAATAGGATATCATGTATAGTATTTTTATGAAGTATTAATAACAATTTATTTATTTGTACCTATTTACTCTTAAGAAATTATGTTGAAAAACATTACGCACTAGTGCACTACACTGCCTGTGACTGTATTCAAAAAGTCCCTTAATTTTTTTATTTTTTTCGTGGATTTACGGACATTTTTGTTAGATTTAGGGAAATTGACAAGGTATGTATTTTTAATTTTTTGTTTTGTTTTTTTTTATATATATTATAATATTATATTAGACATAATTTAATTAGAGTTAAAACATTTTGTAT